TCCTCAGACAAAGGTATTAACAAGAAGGGCAGGTGCTCAGGAAATGGACTAGAGCCTGACAGCAGGAAAAGGATCCGCAGAATGTTGGCAGTCATGTGAAATGGAAAAGGCAAAAGGACCCTTTGGACCTGAGCATCAATAACCCAGGTTACCTCCAAGGTCTAAGAGTCACCCCCACGACGGCCAATGAACACTCTCCAAGACACATTGCACCAAACACTCAATAATTTTTCCTTAATAGCCTTTAATACTAAAATGCATTAAATTTTTGAAGCAGAGAAAACACATTTAAGGGGGAAACAGAACCACCAGGTAAAAGGAAACAATGTGGCAAATAACACCATTTAAAACATAACTGTAATAATTTAATAAAGCTGCTTTATCATTTTCATAAAATAGACAGAGTGGTGATTCTTTTTTGTCTTTTTTCTTTTTACAATGACTCAATCACTGTGAAAATGTACATAACATACATATCAGCATATACAACAATTTCATCTTCATATAGTCAGCAACAGAGACTGCTTAATGAGACATACTGTACTTGCATCCCTCTAAATTTCCACCCTGGTTTGACAGGTAAACAGTAATAGCGTCATCAGGCTCATTCCCCTCACTAGAGGAGCGAAGGCCAGAAGCCTTTTGCAACTAATACCTTAGCATTCAAATAGCACAAGGAGGTATTTGTTGCTGAATTTCTAGCTTGAGCTAGTCTGGCTCTTGGTCAGTAAAGTCCATATCCTAGCCTTCCTCAGCTGAATGCCAGCCAGTGCCAGTAAAAGTCAACTTACCCAGTGCTGTTATGGTGTTAGCTGGTTTGTTTGCTAAGGTTGACAGCAACTTTCAGTTATTAACAAGGTCATCTTTAATTGTCAACACAGCTGAAGTAACGTCAACATCATCAGTTTTCCCTAATGACCTACAGTGCTTTCCAATCAAGATCAGGTGTTTGTGGGTTGTTCTGTACCAAGAGCGTGTTACAATATATATTTCAGACAAGGTGGTTGATTTTCTTTGTTTTACAAAAGCAATATGATTCCTATTTGAAGTTAATTCACTTTTGCACAACAAGTGACCCACAGGCCAATTCCAGCCTCACAAGAAAACAAAGAGAGCTGCAACGACTTCATTAGGACAATGTGTTTTGCTCTGGAATATTTCATTATCAATATAAAGCCACCCAGTCCCAGCCCCACCCCCACACATCCCCTTTGAATATTACTTTATTACATACTTAAACTAAAGAACAACATCTCAATACACTTCAGTGTCAGCAGATACAATTTGACTCATGAAATGACATCCTTAAATGCAATTTTACCAAGAAGGCAAACACTAGGACTGTATACAATGGACTTCTTAAGCTCATTTATGCCAGTTTTTCAAAGTCTGAGAGGGTCTCATTACCCTGGGTAAAGAGCCAAGTGGACCAGACGTGTCAGAATGCCCTGGGGAGCATTCAACATGAAAATCATCCCCATAAAGTGGAATTCCAGCCAGAACTGCTACTATGTACAATAATAATCTGTTTTCCACCCTGAATAGTCAATCCAGCTATCCCCTTCACGCCTGCCTCTCCCCAAGTGGACCACTTTTGTTTTGCTTTGTAATGCTATGATAGGGACATAGGAAAAAGTCAACTGATTTCCCCACACACAATCAATCAGCTGGTCATATGTTGAAGTGACACTATCAGGAAGATACTCTAGGTGGCTCTGATTTTCAGAGTTCTGAGTTTTATTTCCTTTATCATTTTTCATTAGTGATCAGTGAGTCACCATGTCAAGGAATTTGTTTAAATGGGCACCTTTGATACACTTAGCCCCATTAGGCAAGTTAATTATGGAGCAGCCAAACTCAAAGAGTTGTCCCATCAGCATCAAGCTGGGAATTTTTGCATATGAAAAACAATCAGGCCCCACAACATAACAATTGGACCAAAAACTCTAAGGGTAAGACCCCATCAACCTGGGCATCTGATTCATAGGAATTGCTGGGTCAGATCCTCAAGGTGTCCGATTCAGTTGGCCTAGGCAGGGACAGAGAATTAGCATTTCTAAAAAGTTCCCTAGTGATATTGTTGCCGCTCTAGGGACTACATTTGGAGAACCACTGCTCTGCAGGAACTGCAGGATCCCTTAGCCCATAACCTATCTCAGTAATAAGATGTACTGTAATTTAAGCCTACTGGCTTTAGAGGATCAAAGAGATGCTAAGCTTCATTCTGAACAGGTTCATGGACTAGTCAGCATAGGGAAAAGGAAAAAGATATTCCACATAGCACCAAGGCTCTCTTCTCCCTATTCCTTAGTTTATAGTATATTCCCATATTTGGGAGAAAGCAATCTATCAATGCAAACCTTTACATTGCATGAAAGGGTTTAACTGCCCAGGGAATTGCTGAAAACAGTTGGTAGTAAAGCGTGTCACACTTCAAAACCAAGGGACATCAGAATAATGGAACAGAATTCCCCAGGACTTAGAAACCAAAATTGTTCCCCCATTTTTAAGTGTGTAACATGTTTTTAGAAGGAAAAGGAAGAATATTTGGCCCTCTGGCCCTTGTAGCTTTTCATCAGACATGTTAAAAAGGAGGGAAAAATCATGAGTCAAAGGGAAATTTAGGATCTTTACATAAATTTCCTGTTTGCAGGCACAGTCTGCCTATAAACCAGCTTACAAAGCCCTCCTAGATGCACTTGCACTTCTGGGAGGACGCATACATCAGACAACTGTAGGGGAAAAAGATATTTTCTTAATGAGAAGAATTCTCTGAACATACTCAGTAAAGGTTTTGGAAGCCAAAAAAAAAAAAAATCCTGACTGCCCACTGCCCACTGAGAACAAAGTATTTGGAGAGGGAAAAAGGATGTGTCTATAGCTTGAAACTGAATTCTGGGGACAAAAATGAGGAAAAGAAATTCGATAAAAAGCAAAATCAATGTCACTTCTACTCTAACTATTTTAAACCTTGTTGGTAAGAGGCATGGCAGCCAGTGGCCCCTCTGACTCAACAGCCATGTAACATTTAATGTTCCCACCTTCCACAATCTTTCCAGCTCTCTTGTTCCCACTGAGCATAGTAAGAAATACACCTGTAGAAAACTGTCAAATCTGATTTCAAAGTGACCTTGAGGTGGTAGCTAACAACATAATATCAGGATGGATCAGAGTGGAGAGCAGTCTAAATCTATAGGCAGTCATCATAACTTAAAGGGGACATTTTAAAAGATTCATGGTGTTAATCAAATAGTCACTTGCAAGGAGAAATAAATACCTAAATCAGGATCTACTATCAAAAATAAATAAATCAGAAGAAGACAAAGTATATGAGCGAGAGGGAATGAAATGAGGCACAATAAAGGTGTTGTGGTAATTGATCTCCAATTGTGTGGGTTTCAGAGGGAAATTTGCAGCCACACCAACATTTTGCATGAGGTAGTATTCAGCACTGAATAAGAAATAAAGATGAATTTGTAGCTTTATTTATAGGTTCTTTTTCAGAAATGTTCTCCCCTACCTAACCCCATCCCTATTGCCTTCTCCACCCCCTCCCACAAAGCCCTTCCCCCTCCCATAAAAGAAAATATTCCTAGTAATGTATAAGGCTAGGAACTCAGGCAAAAATAACTAAAACATTTAAAAGAGCTGACCTTATCTACCTAAACTTAAGAAAATAATTTCTCTTTTGCATTCAAGTGCTCTAACCTGTAGGACTTCTTTCTGGGTAACTCTTAAATTTCAAACAATGAAACAAATGAGAACAGAACCACAAAACTGGTTTCCCTAGAAACAACTCTTTTCAGACCAAGGCAGAGCAAAGGTGACATATTTCTTTAGTTTTAAATAATGAACTCTTAGGCTGCAAGAATACTATGTTGGCTAGTGAATATTAATAAACAGAAAATAAATGGGGGTTAGAGCAATGTTTAAAAGAATGTGCAGTTTGTCAATAAAAAAAGGTGTATTCCTAGCCTACAGCAAAAAGAGTTAGCTAAATCTAAACAAATTTTGTTTTAATAGTTTCTTGTTCACATTTTTAATCAAAAAAGTATTTGTCATAAAAAGACGAGTTCAAGTGTCCAAGTGTCTCCATTTAGAAGGCACAGTAATTGGATTAGTGATGCTCTTACCTGTTACCTGTCTTTTCCTAAATGTACACTTCGTACTGTTTACTCTATTCCTATTTATAAGCCTAAGATACAGAGCAACATGGAGTTCTCCATTCCAGCCCATGACGTGCTTTACAATCTAATTCCAATCATGATTGGGAAACACTGAATCACGAAGTGGGTGTCTAAAGAGATGCTAATTTAGATCTCAAAATAGATTCAGTCATTTTGAGTTTTAGATGATTGGAGACAGGGAATTTCCAAGCCTAGGAACTATAACTTCAGGAGCAACTTTCCTGTTCAGGGCCTAAAAATTAGAAAAATGGATCTCATAAAACTTCTAGCACAGTATTTCTGACAACTGCAAATTAGATAGCAGCATATCCAAAAATCACTTTCTGCAATGATCTATCATGGACCTGGGCAGAGGACTGAAAGGCAGGAAAAATACTTTGCAAGGTTGTGAGCAATCACTACATGGGTTAAAAAATGTGAGTATCCTCCAAGTACTCAATCTATATGTGTGGTGTTGCTCATTCATTTGCTGTCTCAGTTGTTTGCACTTTGTTTTTGTCTATTTAATTATTTTTTAAGAAAAAAAACACCAACCTTTAAAAGCCTTTTGCCATCACCACACACATAGCAATTTGCAATATCAAATACAACAATAGCACAGCTAGCAAAAGGGTTCTTAAAGCAGGGGTGTCCACAGCAAAGTAGCGGCATTGGAAAGTACTCGAGCTTCAGAAACAACCTTTTGGGGGCTCGATTTCACATCACTGAATCAATGAATAGTACACAATAAATGACCATTAACTTATCTACACTACAAAAAACAGTGGTGAGCTTATTAAAGGTGTCCAGAGCTTTTTTTTTTTGCCTTTTTTTAAATGTAATCCTCCACAAACAATGGTAATTTATATTATAATTTTGACATAGAAAAATATATAAATTCAAACACTAAATACATAATACTTTTCACAACTGAATTTGTCTCCGTTTCCCCAACATCAAGGCCCCATGAACAACTCAAGCCAAAGCTAATTTCCTCCAACTGAACACCCCTGCTGCCTGTTGAAACGAGAGGGATTGTCACAGAATAGTCACTTATAAACAATACATTTAGGCAAAGCGCTGCAATATAGCCACTCAAGAACCAACCATTGGTGAGCAATTAAAACGAGCAGCTCCTGCATCTTCGCTAGCCAGCATGGTTTCTTTCTCTTCTTCCCGAGACTGGTTTAGAGAACGATATCCTTCAGACGCTTCACGCCAGGGGACTCTTTGTCTCGACCTTCCTTCAGAATAGGGTTGACCTCGTGCATTACTTTCTCGCTGTCAGCTCCACGGGGCTCAGCTTCAGAAGGACGAGAAGGGCCATTGTTGACACTGTTGACATACTGCTCTAGATCACGGGCCGGGGGAGCCAGGGCGACGGTATAAGACACGGAAGGCTTGGTAGGCAGAGGGCTCTTTAGGTGGAGGGGGGATGTGACAGGGCTAATAGCTTCACAGCCATTGCCCGCCTCCCGGATAGCGCCGTTGACCTTGGGGCTGCAGATGGTCACATCGACAGTCCTCTTGCCTTTCAGGGTGGGCCTCTCCTCAGCAGGGTGGTCGCTGACATCTTTCCCAAAGGTTGCGAAAGTCCGCTTGGTGGGGCCGCAGTCGTCGTAAGCCTCAACATCAGCAGCAGTAGCTTCAATGGACAGGGTGATGATGTTCCTCACACGCTCAGGAGACTTGGAACGGGTAGGCATAGGGTTCCGGGGCATCCAACATCTGTCAGAGTGGCCAAGAATCCGGCATTCTTCCCTGCAGTGAAATCCTTCATTCTGATCTGTTTAGAGAAAAAAAAGTCAATTTCATCAGCTTTTCCCAGGAATCACTGCTATTCCCCAGTGTTCTGTTTTCTTAGGAATCCACAGGCCCTTCTGGGAAATGGCACTTTTAGATAGTCCTTTATTGCCTCTTGGGACAGGTGTGAAGAACTGGATTTTGAAAAGGCTATAGATCTCCCCCTATATACTCTTTTTATTGTTGTTGCTGTTTCCACTGCTGACAAAACAAGAAAACCTAAAGGGAAACCCGTTATGATGAAAAAACATATTTAAAAAAAAGTTTATCCTGAGCGTTAAGGTGCTGAGAGTCAGCATTTTTATGAACATGTCCTGCTAAAAATCACCTGTGTTAAAAATTGGGTTTAGCGGAAGAGAAAGTGGAGGCAGGGCAGGGAATCCAATAGTCAGTATATTTAAGAAGACATGACCATTGTTTTTTTAGCAAGAGCACTGACAACCACCCTTCTACCCTACCCATCACTAATACATACTACTTAATTTAAGTTTAGATTGCTACTGTACTCTCTTTGAGAACCTATTTGTATCATTTCTTTTTGAGCACCAGTTGTCCCCCAATCTCCTCACTATGCTGTTGCTATAAATGAATTTCCCATCAGAAGGAATATACTGTGATCCCTTCCTTCCAACTGACTAATAAGCTTCAACTGATCCTATATGCACACATCACTCATGTTGGGCATCATTTAATTAGACCCAACTAGCCATCCTTCCTTGTATTTTTTTTTCTCTACAGTTTTACTAGAGACATATTTCTTAAAGAAATACACACTGCTGGTAGGAATGTAAATTTGAAAGCCATTATGAAGAATAGTACAGAAGCTGCTCAAAAATTAAAAATAGATGAACCACATAAAAGCTATCTCACTTGAGGGTATATATTCAAAGGAAATGAAATCAGCTTACCCAAGAGATACCTGAATGCCTGTGGCTAATTCATATTAGCCAAGATACGGAACCAGCCTAGGTGCCCATCAACAGTTGAATAGATAAAGAAAATATGGTATACATACCCAATAGAATATTATTTAGCTATAAACAAAAATTAAATCCTGTTATTTGAGGCAAGATAGATGGAACTGGAGGAAGTTGTGTTAAGCAAAATCAGCCAAGCACCACATGCTGTATTTCATATGTGGAAGCTTCATAAGTTGATCTCAAAGTAGAATAGAGTGGAATAGAAGCTAGGAAGGGTACAAATGAATGGGGATAGAGGGAAGTTGGATAATAAGAAGATAGAAGGAACAAATTCTAGTAATTATACAGCACAGTAAAGTGACTACAGTTTACAATAACCTATTATATATTTCAGAAGAGCTAGAAGAGAGAGAATAGAGGATCTTGAAAGCCCCAAACATAAGGAAATAATAGGGAAATGCTTTGATTGGTACATACTGTACACATGTAATGAAGTATCACATATCACACTGTACCCTACAAATATGTATAGTTCATTACAGAAGAAATATATGTCTTATGGATTGCTTAAACCCCATCATAGAACACTTGAGCAGTTAGAATTCATAATTATTGAAGTGACAGATTTTTGTCTTTCCAGGTCAGGTCAGGTTCCTAAAGACCTCTGTCTCTGAGTTGCTTTCTACACAGCCTATGTCACCAAAGCACGGACCCAGGGTTAACTCCTGCCTGTCCATTGGAAAACTTAACTTCAATGTCTGATTTGTAGCCTTAGTTTTTCAGATCCATTTATATTTATGTTACACTCTTGTAGGAGAATGACCTAAATAAAAATTTCATCACATTATACAACACATCAAAATCTGAGCAGCTTAACATTTATAGAAAACCTTGGGGTAGGATTGGAGGAGGTGGGGAGACTGTGAGAGACAGAGAGAGAAACAGAGAAAGAGAGAGACAGAGAGAGAAACAGAGAAAGAGAGAGAAACAGAGAGAAAGAAACAGAGAGAGAGAGAGAGAGAGACCAGCCAAAATTAGAAATGTATGCTGACTCAAGAAGCCTGCATTTCAGGGTCTTGCCTGGAAATAGTCAATATATAACACATCTGCCTTGTACACTTGTATTTCTATTTTATTTTTTGATATTTTTCTGCTTGCTTATTGATTTTTTTAAAAAGTAAATTACATAGGAAAACAAGTTGTTGCCTTGCCTCATTCACCAGAGGTTCTTTGGTGAAGTAGCAAAGGGAAAGGGCTCAAGGAATAATGGTTGAATGGGTTGTGTATTTCAACATTTGAAGAAAAGGCATTGGAAGCAGTTAAATTTTTCAGGAGCCAAATCTAAACTGAGTCAAGATTTGAACACAACTCTTTAAGTCCTTACCAAGGACTGTGAGTTGTTGTTTATCACTTTTGGTTTCAAATAACATTTCATGACATTGTGCCAATACAATTAAAATAAAATCTAACCTAGCTTTAAAGTATGTATACCCATTTTACATATGAAAGAAAACACTGTTAATATAGATGGGGGGGAAGAACATTTCTGCCCACCACAAGCTAGCCTATATGTATAAATGTACTGCAAATGAATTACCTTTCAAAACTGAAACTTCAGTTTAGTAAAGAAATTAAGCATAGTACTAAAAGCGAAAAATTCACAATATGAAGCCCCTTAAGATAAACAATGAAGACAGACAATACATTTAAAAAAAAGCAAAGAGACTAATTCTAGATTTGCATGACCGGTAAAGATTATGTGCCTGCATTATGTAGTATAGCAGCAGAGGAAAGAAGTATGAGACTAAAGAGAAATAATTTTGTATCATCACAAATAAATTGTCAAGGTGGTGGCTCCTGATGAAACAGAGGTAAGCTAACAATTCACTAATTCTCTGCTGAGAATCTTCTGATGAGCCTATTTGTGCCTTGATATTTTGCTACATCTTTACCTGAAAATATCTAGGCAAAGCAAAATGTAGGATTCTAAAATCCATATGTAGTTATGACAATTCAAACACATTACTATATGCAGATGAATGAAGCAAATGCTTTTAATTCATACATACACATGATTAGCATTGACTGATGAATTTGCAAACTGGTCTTGCTACTTCTAAAATTGTTTCTAGAATTTTTTTTTTAATTTGGATTTTAAAAAATTGGAAGAGAGACATAAATCATGGAGCCAGAGAACTTAGTTCAAAACAGATCTGGTTACACTATACCAAAAACAAAAAAAATACAAAGAAAAGATAAGGTTTCTTCAATCTGGAAAATAATACATATTTTTGGTCACAAATTGTCATTAGGGATCTTGGTGAGAGAATTCAAAGCCATTGGCAAAAAAAATCTTAAGTAAAAGCATCAGTTTTGTGAAAGTATGAGAGGTAACAATGACTAAATCATGATGGATGAGGAAATAATTCAAATAGAAAAAGACCAGAATCTGTTATTTTGTGCAGATGACAGCAAAGCTTCATACAGCAACTTCTACTGTCCTTAGGACATGAAACTGCTGTCTCCTCATTGTGGGCAAACAATATGCTTCCACCTAGAAAGAGTCTACTCTCGGTCCCCACCAAAGTAATTGAAGAAAATGATGAAAACTATCTTAGACCTTTCTAAAACGTTCAAAGTCCTGGCAGAATAGCAGAGTTGAGAGTCTGTCTGGGTTTGTATAGATGTCCAATCACAATGGATATGTTCAATAATGCTAGTAGTTCTTTATGTGATTCAATTTGGGTGTATTAACTCAAATATCCTAATGATCAGAGACAAAAATCTAACACTAAAATAGTTCAAGGTGACAGTTACAAGAGCACTATATTACCTTTTCAGAAGTGATCTTCAATCAGTGAGACAAAAAGAAAAAATCAAAGTGAGTTCCAGCTTCTGCAAGCTCAAGTAGTTGCTACTTTTAAGCAGTAGTAATACAACCTACAAGCAAGTTGTGTGGAAACCAGAAAAATCTTCCTAGTTTGTACTCTATACATCTACTTAACTGAGTCTGCATCAGTCCAAGAACAAGACAATGTGTTACCACGGCACAGCCAATTTTTGTGAGATATAATGGACAATAGTATGACAATGATTATGAAGAAGTTAAATATTATTAAAATTGGTCACATATGCATAACCAAGAAAACATAATTTTTGACCTGCTTAACTCCTACTCAAATGAAGCCAAGAAAACTAATTGCCTACAAAATATCTTTTTTAAAAAATTAGAAACAGAGCTCCCAGGGCTGAGTATAGTGGTACATGTCTATAATACCAACTTCTCAGGAGACAGAGGTAGGAGGATAGAGGTTTGAGGCCAGCCTGAGCAAAGTTAGCACAAAACCGTATCTGAAAAAACAAACTAAAAGCAAAAGGGTTGGAGCATAGCTCAAGAGGTATGGAAATTGCAAGTACTAGGCCCTGAGTTCAATCCCTAGTACTGGAAGGAAAGAAAGAAGGAAGGGAGGGAGGGAGGGAGGGAGAGAAAGGGAAAAGGGGGGAAAGTGGGAAGGGGAAAGAGAGAGGAAGGGGGAAAGAAAGGGGGAAGGGAAGGGAAGGAAAGAAAAGGAATCTACATTTACTGGCCTTCCTTTTGGACAGGGTTTACCTTGTAACTAAGATTGGCCCAACATGAAGGTGCTATGTTGAGAAGCTCCCTAACAGGAGAGAGGAAAGAGAGATTTAGTAAGAGACTGTTTTGTTCTGATTTCTTCCTGCTTGTCCTGTTTGGCACAAAGTCCTAATGGCTAGAGCTGCAACATCCATAGTACTCCCAATGAGGCATCCCTAAGGATGGAAACAATGTGTCAATGGGCATCAGAATAGAAAGATGTAAAGGACCTTGGAATATTGAAGATATAAAGCCACCTTGAAAGATCTGAACTTCTTTTATATAAGAGGAAAAATAAACATCCCTATTAATTTAGGCCATAAATTTATTTTCCTTAGTGGAGGAGAAGGGACTTCATTACCAACAGTTGACCATAATTTATGACTAATACGTAAGTCCCAACTTCAATTTCATTTGCTCCAGGAGTCCTTCCCTGATCCCTTGGACTAA